ACGTTCACCCCAGGCGGGGGAACTGCGTCGACGTAAGTGCTGGTAGATCTCCAAGATGCCATCTCCTGCTCCATGACAGCTATCCACTGAGAGGCCCAAGGTCACGAGGTGGCCTCAGCGTAAGTGCCAAGGGTCGGGATGTCGAAGGCGTCTGGGTCTCCCTTTGGGACTAGGAGCATGGAGCAGAGATGGGGAGCGGCCTCGGAAAGGAAAGCAAGCTCGTACTGCCGGTCCTCTAGAACGTCACTGCCAAGGGCAGGTGCACGCCCGACGGACGGAGGACGGGCAGGGTCAGAGACCAGAGCGGTAGCGTTGTCAAGGCGGCGGGTAGAGGCGAAGTCAGCGACAGCCGCGACAAGCGCGTCAAGGCGCGAGACAGGAACAGACGGGCCTGTAACAAGAGAGGCAAGAACCCGAGGGACAAGGGGACGAGCGGCACAGAGGTGGTCAGACAGCGGGGGAGGTGCAACAACAAACGACGAGGGAGGAGGCGACGAGAGGAGGGGAGGACGAGACGAGTGGGAATGGAGCAACATAGGGTGGGAGCGCAGGACAGGAGAGACGGGACGAGCACGGGAGGGACGGCGAGACCAAACGTGGGACGGAGGTGTAGGGTCAGAGTGGAGACACAACACGGGGAGACCGCGGTGAAGACGCGCAGCCACAACCCACGGGAGAAGAACGTCAGGCACGTCGGCCTTCCGCTCCAGGGGAAACACCGTGGTGTAGCGCGTGTAGTCGTCGACGAGCACAAGAAAGTAGCGCTCACCGCGCGGTCTGGGGACGGGGGCTAGGCCCCAAACGTCCAGGTGCAGGGTCTGAAGGGGAGCAGTAGAAGGGCGAAGCGAGGAGGAGTGAGGGGCACGGCGGAACCGGCCCTCGACGCAAGGCGTGCACGGTGGCACAGTCGAGGGTGGAAGTGCGGGGAGCGACTCAGGGAGGCCTAAGACAAGACCGTGCTGAGACATGTGACGCAGGTGCGGGAGAGCAAGGTGACCCAAGCGGTGGTGCCACAGAAGGGACGGGGGTGTGAGGGACCGACACGAGCAAGCTGCAGCGACCTGGGAGGACGCACCAACCGGGGGGGAAGCAGTGTCGAGGGTAAACAGACCGGACACCGGGTCCCGGGGGAACGTCGCAAGGGGGGAACCTGTGACTGCTCGGTACAGACAGCGAACCGCTCGTGCCTAGGGAACGTAGTGGTGACGCCGAGGTCCTGAAGACGGCCGACACCAACCAGGTTCCTGGAGAATGAGGGAACATGGAGGCCTGTAAGAGAGCCCGAGGGAACGGCTGGACAGGGAAGGAAAGTGGAGCTGCGAGCGACGACAGGACCCACGAAGGGGTCAGCGAGAGCGACAACAGCAGGCGCAGCAAGCGGCGTGAGCGTGGAGCGCTCGCGGAAGAAACAGGTAGAAGCACCGGAGTCGAGAGTGAAGGACAGCGAGGCAGTAGCGGAGGCCGGGAACGGAGCCGGTGCAGAAACTAGGCTAGGCAAACTAGGCAGTCCTATGCCTGACGCAACAGGGGAGGCTAAGCTACACAAGGGTGCTACGCCTAAACTAAAGTACACAGGGTAATAAGATCCAGCAACACTAGAAGCATCAGCATACAAGGCATGCAAAGTAGCACCTACAGTATCTGATCCATATCTAAATCAAAGATCGGCACGCCCTGGCGAAGCAGGCTGTGCAAGTCAGGGAGGTCCGGGGCCGGGCCAAAGCGACGACAAAAGAGATCGTCAAGGCGGCGGAAACAGCGGGCGGTCGGGTGCGGGCGACGGCACAGAGTGCCGCGGAGAGGCCCGGTCTGAAGCTGGTACTGGAAGGTCACACCAACGGAGCTGCCGGTAGAAGCCAAGCTGCGCGAGCCGCCACCACGGCCACCACCTACGGAGGTGCCGGACCAACATGGGGTGAGGCGAGCCCACGGCTGGGGCTGGGACAGGCTGCTGCGGCGACTGCGACTGCTGCGACGGCTGCTGCAGCTGCTCCTGCTGCTAGGGCGAAGGGTGCTGCTCCTGACTAGCTGAGGCAGTCCCCTCAGTAGAACCACTGTCCCCGGTACCACCACTACTACTACAACCAGCTCCATCACCACGCCCTCCCTAGCGGCCACGACCGGTGCCGCGTGAGTGCTGCTGTGGGTGTACCGCAGCTGCAGTCTCGGTCAGAGGGGTCGCAGTGACGACCGCAGCCGAAACGTCAGTAAACGTGCATTGGGAGGGGGCACAGTCGTGAAAGATAGAGACTGCCGGCGCACCGCTCGACTGAGCGATAGTGCACTGGCGAGTCTCGATCTCGGTCAGGGCGGTGACAAAGGCAGGTAGGGTGAGATCACCCGCGTGCTGGCTAAGGATGTGGTCGCGTGCACTAGCAAGGCGGTCAGGCAGGCGCATGGCGATAAAGAAGAGGGTCATGCGGAAGGGGGGAGGGAGCGCAGTGAGCTGGGCAGCAGTGCTAGCAGTGCGGTAGCGAGATTCTAGGGCGCGCAGGTGAGTGGCAAGGTCAGCAACAATAGAGAAGAAAGCAAGGTCTGGGAAAAGCATAGGGAAGAGCAGGCGGCCTGCAGTAGCGGAGGCAGGCGTGGAATAGCGAGCAACAACAGCTTCTAAGTAAGCCTTGGCTGTATCAACTGTAGCAAAACGCGAACGCCCAGACATAGGGAGGGCGTGAATGATAGCGACCTGAGCAACTGCATCGCGAGAGTCCCACATGGCACAGGCAAGTGCAGCAGCAGAGAAAGTCTCACACTCAGCAGAGGTGGGGTCGGGCGGGCGCTAGGAGGAGACGGCTAGGAGCGGGCGCGAACGGCCAGGGGGCCGGCTAGGAGCGGGCGCGACGGCCAGGGGGCCGGCTAGGAGCGGGCGCGAACGGCTAGAGGGCCGGCTAGGGGCGGACGCGACGGCCAGGGGGCCGACAAGGGGCGGACGCGATGGCCAGGGGGCCAGCTAAGGGCGGGCGCGACGGCTAGGGGGCCAGCTATGGGCGGACGCGACGGCCAGGGGGTCGGCTAGGGGCGGACGCGACGGCCAGGGGGCCAGCTAGGGGCGGGCGCGACGGCCAGGGGGGCCGGCTAGGGGCAGACGCGACGGCCAGGGGGCTGGCTAGGGGCGGACGCGACGACCAGGGGGCCAGCTAGGTGCGGGCGCGACGGCCAGGGGGCCGGCTAGGGGCGGACGCGAGGGCCAGGGGGGCGGCTAGGGGCGGACGCGAGGGCCTGGGGGGCCGGCTAGGGGCGGACGCGACGGCCAGGGGGCCGGCTAGGGGCGGACGCGACGGCCAGAGGGCCAGCTAGGGGCGGGCGCGACGGCCAGGGGGCCGGCTAGGGGCGGACGGGACGGCTAGGGGGGAGGGGGGCCAGCTAGGGACGGGTCACGAGGGCGGCTAGGGCCTGGGGCGGAAGCGTGGGCGGGCGAGAGGAACCGAACCTACTCATGATACCATGTTAAAAAGAGAGAATGAATGGACTAGTGTGAGAAACCTAGAACATGTACCTGTTGTACTCACTAGAAGCACACACATAGGCTAGCCTATAACTTCTACATACAGCATATGTATAAGTTGACATAGAGGCCATTCATCCATTCCAGAGGCAAGCCAAGTTTCGCCTGCAATGATATGTAAAATTTTAACGTGTTTACATTTATACTTTCAAAATTGCATATTGTGAATGCGATGCTGCTTGTAATGCAATCTTCGGCATCGTCAAAGCGAGCTATTCGCCCTTCCCCAACTATGTAATGGGGTTGGAGGTCATTCTTCCTCCACCCACGTTTTTCATTTTCCCCAGCTCAAGTTCAATTCCCGCCCACCCAACCCGCTTCTTCTACCCTCGACAACATGCACCGCTTAGGTGGATCATCCTCAGCATAGACATATCCTTTCTAGTGTAGAAATTTTATGTTGATGTATGAATATATTGGGAACTCTTGTAATTGATGTGAGTGGAATGAGAATGATGCCAATTGCACTACAAGTAGAAAGCTTTTTCAATGCAAGTGGCCGCTTGCGTGCGCGATGAAATCAAGATTCAAGCGACCCGTGGCCATGGGGAGTGAAGTGAAGTGAACCCTCTGCCGCTGATTTGCCGAGCGCAACGCGCCAACAAGAACCACTGTGCTGCTGTAAACCGCGGCACAGTCGCGAGAGAAGCATTTCCATTCCATGCCCCACAGACACACAAGCACGCGGTTCCGGTGGGGAAGAGGCGCAAGTGATTGCTCGCTAGGCGAACGCTATTGATGGTAACTCGTCGCTTCCCACCAATAACAGGCTTCGTCTCTCTCAAATGACAGGCTTCGCAGAGAAACAAGGATAGAACGGGCGTTACAGTACTCTTGCTCCCTCATGCATGACTCTACCTCCAGCCAGACAGCAAGAATGGAAGCAATCTTAACAGCGGTTTTCATTCGGATTTCTGAATCGCAGAGGACTGTGTCTGGTTCACTGGCGATACTGTACGTCAGTACACGTGAATTCCTTTCAGGCTCATTTTGTTTTTAAGCGATTGCTCCAAAGTCAAGCACACAACTTTCACGGACGAATTGGGCTAATATGGGGTATTCTGGTTACCTCGTTGGCATTTTCCAGTCTAAAGAGGATGACCATTGTTGTTTGTTTTGCGTTCGTATGGCAACAGTGTAAGGTTTGAGAACGTCCCGTCTGCACGTTTGGAGGTCTCCGTATCAGATTCGGTAACTGTTGCAGAACTTTGGGCCTGTGTCGTCTGGGTCGATGCCCGTGCGTTCGGACCAGTAAATAGACACGGGGCATCTAACGAGTAGGCATTTCACTGGACGTCAGGTTGTAGAAAGCAATGGAGGTCTCTCGGCTTGGCGCATATGCTTTGTGGTGAGTTGCGCACCGAGGTGCAGAAGGGAGAAGGAAGTAGGCAATTACCCTCATGCCGAACATCGATCTCTCCTGGACTCCCACTGCCACTCCCAATGCCAGTGATACCCATGGTGAGTGGCACCCACTATGCACCCTCTCCTCTACTCGCTCGCTCCCTCTTCGCTCCCTCACCCACTATGTAGTAGGGACTTCTACCTCAGACTTCCCCACTTTTTTTACCTGTACAACTTTTCATCTCGTGTTCAGTGGTAGAAGCTTCGGATCGGGAACGGCGGCAGCAATCGTCAGAATGGGCTTTCCTCCTTTTCCCAAGCTGTCTGCTGGCAATCTCCTCCCACTCATTCAGGCAGGACACGTGGCATCCATCTGGCACGATGTGCTGCTCGCGCCGCCGCAAATGGCGCAACTATCCTCTTCCCCCGGCTCCCGCTCGTCCCCGTCATTAGCAGCTCCTAACGAGCTCTTGTTCCCAACACCGGTTGTACAAACCAGGAGCGACGATTTTGGCGGGAGCAACTGTAGTAGAGACCAGGATGGGGCTCTCGTCCGTACGAGCGACGATTACGTGTCGCTCTCCGCGGTCACCTTCGTGTGCACCTCCTCGAAATCCGACAGCGCGAATCACGCCGCTAGTCACGGCGGACGCCACCACCCTCAGAGCGCCCGGGCACAGCGAAGAAGCAACGCTGGCCATATCGCCCGTTGCAACAGCGAAGCGCTAGATTCCACCTCTTGCGACGCGGCGCTTTCCCCCGGCTCGCGGCTTCTTCCCGCCAGTGTCAGGGCTCGCGAGCGGCTCGGCCTAGATGGCTCCCTGCGGCCCGACGACCCCAAGCCGCGTCCCTGGAATCTGGGGATCGTGCCTCAGACGTGCATCCTCTCCCCCGTTGCCGCTCAGCCGTCAGCTGTCGCGACGGACGACAGCGTCTCACCGTCATCCCCGTTAGTAGCAGCCCCGGGTTCGCCGGGCGAGTCGGCGGCGTTCCCCATGATTTTCGACAACGCGCCGATTGAGGCGGTCGAGATCGGTGCGCGGGAGCGCGGACCGGGGGAAGCGTTTCCGGTGCTGCCGTTACTCGCGTTGCCGGTGCGCCTTCACACCGCGACGCGCTCGGAAGTTTCGTGGAAGCTGGTGGTCATCGCGATCGACGACCCGCTGGTCGCCGCGCGCCGGATGGACGTCGTTTCGAGGAAGCTTCTACCGATGGTGCGGAGGTGGGTCCGCGCGTCGGGCTTCGCGTCACCGCCTCGTGGACAAACGGAATCGTCCGGGGAGGGTAAGGTTGGCCGTCAACCAGTGGTTGGTCATGGGATTAAAGACATGATGTAAAGGGGATATTTCAGCGAGGCTCGCTGTTCCGACGCTCTTATTCTCCCGCCCCCCGGTTCCGCCTTCGCCATCCCCTTTCTCACGCTTCCCCGTACCACTCCTTTCCCCCCCTACCGCCCCCCCGTTCCCCTTTCCCCTTCCCCCTTCCCCCTTCCCCCTTCCCCCTTCCCCCTACCCCTTCTCCCCGCAAGCAGTTTCGCCGCCTTCGCCTTCCAGCCCGTCGCGAGGCGCTCTCTCCTCCCCCCACGAGGCGTGCTCGTGGGACGAAGCTGCTCGGAAGGCGCGCGCCGTGATCACCGAGGCGCACTACACGTGGAAGGTCCTCGGAAGCGCGCTCCGCCGGCCGACGCTGCAGCGGAGGGGCCACGTGCACGCGCACGCGCTGCGCGCGTGGCAGGAGCGGGATAAGATCCTCGACAGCTTCAGCAACGCGACGCACAGTAACGAATCAGCTGATATCGGATCAAGCTGGGTGAAAGGCAGCAGCAGCAAGCGTAGGGCTGGTCTACTTAGCTCTAGGATTAGTTTAAAAAGTGGTAGGATCGGCTCTGGCTTCGGCGGCAGTTATTCCGACACAGAAGAGGAAGATTCTGAGGCGCCTCGAAAGGGCGACGCGGAAAGCGGTCACTCGGTGTGGCTACTCATCGCTGCTAGTAATACTAGGTCTCGCGCGGCGCGCTCGCCGCCCGTTTGTTCCGCCGCGATTTCCGCCGCGCCAATCAGCGAAACCGCCGCGAATAAAGGCCGGCTCGAGGCCGCTGCAGCAGCAGCTGTGGCTCGCGTGAGTGCGTCCGCCGGGGCTTCTGCCGTGAATGCTTCTGCCGGCGCCGCTGCTGGCGGTAGCGCGGATGCCAATCCCGCTGCTTCCGCGAGTGCGGAACGGAGCGGAGCCGTCGGCAGCAGCAGTACCGCGTGCAGCAGCAGCGGCAGTTTCCGCAGCAGCGGCAGCATTAGTAGCAGCTGGCGCAACAATAGCAACACCAGCGGCAGCACTAGTAGCAGCTGGCGTAACGGTTGGAGCGACGCTCCGAGCAGCAGTACCGGCGAGCCTTCCCCCTGCCCCTCCCCGCGCTCCTCGTTCTTCCCCTTTCCGTCCCCGCACCCGGGCTCGCGAACTTCCGCGACCGCGAGCTCCGCCAGCGTCGGGCGCGCGAGCTCCCGCGCCGTTTCCCCCGCCGGAATCTCCCTCGGCCCCACTTGCACGTCGCAGGACGATTCGTCCACATCAGCAGCCGCCGCGGCGCTGCTAAACGAGATCTTGGACGCGCCGCTCCCCATGTTTTTGGAGTTGCAGCGAAGCGCTACTATCGGGTCTTACAGTGTACAAAATCGCAGTGCTAAAATAAACGGCAGCGGTAGCGGCCGTAGCGGCGGTAACAGCAGCGGTAGGTGGGGGGGGGAGCAGAAGAGAAACGGCGGCGAGGGGAGGAGCGGGAGTAGCGGGAACGGTGGTGGGGTGGGTGGTCGGTGTGACAATAACGCAGGAAATCCTGCCTTACGCAGCGGCTGTGAGAGTCCCAGTGATGCGGTTGGTGACAATACCGAGGGCGAGTGCAGCCCTGGGCTGGTGAGAAGGCACACCGCTACAGCCATAAACCGAGGCAACTACAGTGAAGTAAATTCTGGCTATGCGAACAGTAAGTTCTCAAAAAATGGAAACTCGGGAGAAAGGAATCTTTGCGAGAAAAGCAAGGGAGACAGGACGAAAAATGCCAAGAGCAGTGGCATTATAAAGAGTAGCTCATTGCTGGAACCACCACACAGCAGCGATAATACATTTAAAGAAAATAGCTGCAGGGTTGACACGAAGAACATTAGCAGCAGCAGAAGTATTGGTGGCATGGACGCGCATAGGGGAACTGGGAGGGCGTTGTGGATCGAGGGGAGCGGGAGGATCCGAACCTTCGTGCGCTTGCTTCCCCGCTTGAAACTTCAGGTGCCAGCCGGAAAGCCAGACGAGGGGGAGGAAGTGGAAGAGGAGGAGGGAGTGGAAGAGAAGGAGGGAGTGGAAGAGAAGGAGGGAGTGGAAAAGGAGGAGGGAGTGGAAGAGAAGGAGGGAGTGGAAAAGGAGGAGGGAGTGGAAGAGAAGGAGGGAGTGGAAAAGGAGGAGGGAGTGGAAGAGAAGGAGGGAGTGGAAAAGGAGGAGGGAGTGGAGGAGAACGAAAGGCTTGTGCATGGAAAGAAAGCAGGAGTAGGGCACAAGTATATAGATGGGGAGGAGGAGAAGGAAGAGGACCGTGAGGAGGAGGAAGAGGAGGAACTGGCAGAGAGGGAGGAGGAAGAGGAGGAGGGGAATGAGGGTGGTGGAAATGGTGGCAGCAGCAGCAGCAGCAGCAGCAGTCCGTTGCCCATCTTTTCAGCACCCACAGATCCCATGCCAAATGTCACTTCGAGCGACACTACGGCCACCAGCAGCAGCAGCAGCAGCACCAGCAGCAGCACCAAAGTGAGCGGCACCAGCGTCACAGGCGGCGCCGGCAAGAAGAGCTACCGTTACAGCATCATCATTCCGTCAAGATTCTCCAAAAGCGCTGACCTCGGGCTGAGCAGCTGCCGGGAGACCAGCACGCCAGGCGAGGCTCAGACAGGGAAGAACAGCAGCAGCAGCAGCAGCAGCAGCAGCAGCAGAAACAGAAGCAGGGATGACTCTAGCATCAAGTGGCCTCTCACGCCCCAGAGTGCCGTTGAGGCGTCTACTAAATGGCCTCGCACGCCCCAGTGCGCCGTTGAGTCGCCGCGCAGAAAGGCAGCAGGGGACCCCTGGTGGAGGGGCGCCTTGATGACTCCTAGGGGTTTCCGCAGCACAGCCAATGGCGGCATGTGGGGATCAGCGACAGCAGCAGCAGCAGCAGCACCAGCAGCACCAGCAGCAGCAGGTGGAGGAGGAGGAGGAGGAGCGGAGGGAACTGCAGCAGGAGAAGGAGGAGCAGGAGAGCGGCAAATTCCCAGCCATTCAGACAGCTCTGAGGCACGGACAGGGGGAGGAAGGAAGGAAGCAGACAGTATGGAAGGCTCAGAGGGAGTGAGGAAGGGATCTTCTCGGGAGTTTTCTGGAGTCAGGGGGTGCTTGTCTCGGGATGGGTGGGGGTCCAGCCGTGACCTGCCTGTGCAGGAACGGACCAGGCCACAACCCTGTGCCGAGCCTCATGCCGAGCCTCACGCCAAGCTTCGTGCCGAACCAAGTTTTAAATGTCTGAGTGAGGTAGGGACGATGGCAGGCTCGGGGTCACGCAACGGACCTGGCAAGGTCAATCCACCGATACCTTTTCTGCCCGGAAATGCCGAGGTCTCAGACACAGATGCAGTTACCGAAGAGGCTTGTAAGGAGGACAGGAGAGTCACAGCCAGGGAACTCCTGATGGATGCGTTGAAGGAAGCCCATGTGGACCCTGCTGACGCGTACTCTGCAGCACTCTCCGCAGTGGCTGCTGCTGTTTCAGCTGCCACTGCTGCTGCTGCCGCCGCCGCTGCTGCTGCAGCAGCGGCAGTGAGTTACGCGAGGCCGCAGGAGGCTGCAGCAGCGGCTGCTGCTGCATCCGCTGCTGCCTCGGCTGCTGCTGATGCTGCTGCTGCTGCTGCTCTGGTCGCTCCCAGGGAGTCCGTTGCTCGGGCTGTTGCTGCCGCTGCTGCTAACTTGTTGGACCCCTGTAATGTCCCGTCTGGTAATGGCCCTTCTGGTGATGCCTCTGGTTCTGGTACCTGCTCATGTCAGCAGCAGAAGGAACATGGAATTGATGGCAAGGACAGCAGCAAAGGGGGCAGCACGAGCAGCAGCAAGGGCAGCAGCAAGAGTGACAGCAAGGCAAAAGCTAAGAGCAGCAGCAAGGGTGGCAGCAAGAACAGCAGCAGCAGCAAGAGCACGAGCAAGCAGGCCCAGCCGCACAGCATCGTAGGGAAGAAGATCCGACCGTCGGTCAGCTTGCCGTCCGCTAAGAGCTTCACCGTCATTGCTGCTAAGGACGCCCCCTGGCGCCTAGCAACCGCTGCAGCACACCCAGCCGGCCCAGCATGCCCTGCCTCTGAAACGCGCTCCCCTGTCCTCACTCACCCCAGCAGCAGCATTCCCTCTCCCCGCAGACGCTCCTCCCTTCCCTCGCCCTCTAAGGGCTCCTCCCTTCCCTCTCCCAGTCCTCGGCCTCGCGCTATGCCCCGCTCCTCCCACTCATCCCACTCATCCCACTCATCCCACTCATCTCACTCATCTCACTCCTCCCTCTCATTCCACCCCATGCTCAAACCCTCAGTTGGTGGGGGTGCCTTCTCAACCCCCCGCCCTGGCCGCTTTTTGATCAAGTCCTCCTCTAGTGGAAACATCTCACTGCTACCCCCTACCAGCCATGTCGCCGTGCCACCCAGCCCTGGCCGTCCACCTTATCAGCAGACTCGCAGGAACGCCACATTCTCTGTACCTAGCAGCCCCCTAGCAGCATCCCAGTATCAAAACGGCCAGAAAGGAGTGTTGGTTACAGAGGTACAGTGGGGTCGTTGGGGCCGTGCACACTCGGATGTGCCTGTCGCTACGGCTGTAGCTGCTACAGATGCAGGGATGCAAGGAGGTTTGTTGGAGTGGAATGATTTGCGAAGCAGCCACAAGTCCCTCCGGGGTGAGAGTGGGTTGGAGAGAGAATGGAGGGGGGATGACTCGCATGGAATAGAGATTCCTGTATATACAGATGAGCCGCTGCCTCCCAACCCCAACCCGTACGATCAACGGTCATCTCCTCTGGTGCGGCTCCTGCCTCTAGGGTCTGGGAAAGTGCAGCAGGAGGAGGTGGTTACGGAAGGGGAGACGAAGCGGCAGCTGATGGAGGAAAGGGTGGGAAGCACAGCTTGGGATGGTGATGCGGAACCATCCAGGCATAGGTGCTTAGATGATGTAGAAGTAGAAGGGTCTTATATAAGACGTTTGACTACTTGATACTATGTCACTTACAATGTGATAGCTGTACACATCTATCTAACACCAGATACTGAATTCGACATACAACGGGTCCTCGACCTCTCCCTGATGCCGTGCGTTGATTGGACGGACGACCAACTTTTTTCACCGACCAAGCCGCGAAGCCATATGCTGGGGCTGGTTGTTGTCAGTGGAAGATGGATTCCGCGGTTCGACGGAATTGCTTGGTGAAATTTCCCTGAGATGTAATCAGTCCCATCGCGCGCTTCCGTCCAACGAAAAATCTGGTCAGGATTTCGCCCGAAATTTGCCCCCGCAATGTTCCACCTTCCAGAACCACGCGAACGAAACGAGCTTTCGTTGACGGAGAGCTGGACGGAGCCATTTTCAAGCTGACATCTCGGCTCAAACAAATGTGCTTGTTGTCTCGCACTGTCGCTTCTCGCCACCCAAGTAACGCTTTGCTCTGCCCATCTGCGATACGGTAGTTCCTACGCCAGTGATGCTGCTGCTGCTGTAACTCTCGCCTGCTAAAAGCTAGCTTCTCCGCGATATGGCATCGACCCTTCCCCGTTGCCGCCATCCACACTTGATACATGACGCTATTTAGTACATGTGAGCTTCGCGAGATGAGGCAAAGTCCATCTTGCGTTGGCGGGCGGCCTGAGTTACTTCTCGCCCCTCGCAATGGGTTGTGTGACTCATGCTGAGAAGTCATCTACTAAAATCGAACTGCGTCACGGAGAATCATACCGATTCCTCGGCACGACGGTCGCAGAAAGAAGCAGGCATTTGTTCAGGCTGGAAAGCTAATTCTAGCCGTTGATTCCAACGCCCGCGAATGGCGCTAGTAAGCACCATCTGCGCCGCCCTAGGCGTCAGAAGCTCCCGAAGCAGCACCACTGGCGGAACCACTGGCGGCACCACTGGCGGCACCATCGTTAAAGGCTACAGCAGGGATACGGAACACCCCAGTCCGTCGAGCTTTTCTGCCGCACTAACGGCAGCAACAACCGACTTTCCGAGTCGTTTTTCGAACTCTCATTCCGGCGCACCGCCACCCGCACCTGCCGCTGGTGCGGCCACTAACCTCCTGCCGTTGATCGGCGGATCCGGCTACGTGGCGTCGATCTGGCACGATGTTCCCATCGCCTCCATTCCCGCGGCTCGGGCTTCTCTCCTACGATCCGCCTCTTTAACAGGCACAAGCATCAGCAACCCGCCTGCTGCCGTAGGCAACCCGCCATCATCCACTTTATCCTCGTTACAGCCAGCTTCGCTACCACGCTCGTTGACCGAAACGCACATTTCTACTGCATCCCGTGCTGGAAGCGGCGCCAGCGGGTTTCTCCTGCCGTCAACATCAAGCGCATTCGCGTTCGTCTGTACGTCCGCACCTTCCGGATCGCGCGCACACGTGTGCACGTCCGCACGCGACAGATCGAGCGCACACAGCGCAAAGTCGCTGCAAACTACAAGCCCAGCTGCCATTAGTACGCCGGCGGCGCCGACACCTGGAGGCAGCTTACCACGTCGACGCAACCTGGCACAAACGACTTCCGAATCGTTTCAAGCGAAGGTGACGCGGCCGCTACGTGAATCGCTGGAGCGTCCCGCCGTCTCGGGCTCCGAGAGCGCCGGGCTCCTGCCGCGAATGGACGGCGGCGGATTGCGCCGAAACGAGTCAGCGGGAAAGAGCGTGGGAGCGAAGCTGGACACGTGTCCGTGGAACCTCGGGATCATCCCGCAGACGTGCGTCCTCGGCCTCGCGGACCCTCCACAGAGCGCCTCGTGGCCGTTGGACGGGGTCGAGGTCGGGGTTGGGAGGAGGAGAGGTGAGGCACGCATTGCTGCCGGCGGCAGGGGCGGCGAGCGCATGGATGCAGACAAGCCATTCCCGGAGACATTTGGCAATGCGCCACTAGAAGCGGTTGAGGTGGGGGCGGGGAGGAGAGCACCGGGAGATGTTTACTCGGTGGTGCCGCTGCTGGCGCTGCCAGTCAGGCTGCGGGGCGGGGGAGGAGGGGCGGCAGGAGGAGGAGAGGAGGAGAGTGAGATAAGCGAGAGGAATGCTTGTGAAAACGAAGGCTTGGAGATTTCCTGGAAGGTGGTGGTGATTGCTGCGGACGACCCACTTGTCGTCAATGGCAGAAGTATCGAGGAAGCTTCTCGGAAGCTGCTCCCTGCTGTCTGCAGGTGGGCCGAGGCTGCACGATTCACGAGCCCCTCTCCAAGACAGCTGCTGACGTCATATCGGATTGCGCCGGCGGACGACGCATGTTACGGTCGAGCCAAAGCGCACAGCTGGCAGGAAGCTTCCAGGAAGGCGGAGGCGGTGATTTCTGACGCGCACTGCACGTGGATGATTCTGTACTGCCCGCGGTTTCTGATGGCGCGTGGGAGGCCACGTGACACGAGCTTTCAAAGGCGCGTCGCTGAAGGGGCATGGCAGGGGAAGGTTGGAATACGGAAGAGTCAAGAGGAGGGGAATGCAGTGGGGAGGGAGGAAGGACTGGTGGCGCTGGGAAGCAGCACAGCTCAGAGCACAGCTCAGAGCACAGCTCAGAGCACAGCACCAGGGAGCGTGATTGGACCTTTGTGCGACGCACGTGGTCTCCCGCGCAGTAGTGCTCTGGACTGGCGGGTGGAGGGAGGGCGGACGGCCGGAACGAATCTATGGAGCATGCTGCTGGGGGTGAGGAGAAGCAGTGTGGGTGAAGGGGAAGGGAAGCAGCAGATTTCACATGAGGAGCACGTGTCCCCACATCCACATGCCCTTGCGGCTTGCCGGGGGGAGGAAAGGGAATCGGAGGCGCGTTCATTGCAGCGAAGCAGCACTCTTGGTGGACTGTTCGGTAAGAGCCAGAGGCAGCAACAGGCAGTGAGTGGCGAGGCTTCTCTTGAACGCAGCCGCACACTGAGCCACCTGCCAGAACAGCATCAAGTGTGTACTCTTGAACGGACTCATACACTGGAGTGTCCAGAAACGCCGACTGGGCAAGCTGAGGAGCCCAAAGATAGTGTTTTGCAGCGGTGCGGCACTCTTGATTGGGTGCCAGGAAGGAGGCTGAAGGAACGGCAGAAATTGAATCGTGAATGCTCATTGGAACGCAGCACCACTCCCGGCCATTTGCCACAAGAGGACCAAGTGCGCTCACTTGAACGCAGCAGCACACTGAGCCATCTGCCAGAGCAGCACCAAGCGTGCTCGTTTGAACGCAGCAGCACTCTAGACAGGCTGCAAGGGAGGGGCCGGAAGGAACGGCAGAGGGTGAGCTGTGAATGCTCGTTGGAGCGCAGCAGCACCCTCAGTCATCTAACAGACCAGCACCAAGCGTTCTCTCTTGAACGCAGCAGCACTCTTGGTAGACTGGTAGGACGGGGCCTGAAGGAACGGCAAAGAGTGGGTCGTGAGTTGGAAAATAGCAGCACTCTCACTCATTTGCCAGAGCAGCACCAAGTGAGCTCACTTGAACGCAGCAGCACGTTTACAAGGCTGCTGGGAAGGGGTCAGAAGGGACAGCAACACAACAGTCTCGACCATTTGCCACGAGAGCATCAAGCGTGCTCGCTTGAACGCAGCAGCACACTGAGCCATCTGCCGGAGCAGCCTCAAGTATATTCACTTGAGCGCAGCGCAACCCTTGATAGGCTGCTGGGAAGGGGTCGGAAGGAACAACAGAAGGTCAGTCGTGAGAACTCCTTGGATCAACACAACACCCTCAGCCGTTTGCCACAAGAGCATCAAGTGTGTTCACTTGAACGCAGCACCACACTGAGCCATCTACCGGAGAAACATCAAGTGTATTCACTTGAACGCCGCAGCAGCCTGAGCCACCTGCCAAAGCAGCATCAAGGGTATTCACTCCAACGAAGCAGCACTCTCAGCCGGCGTTTCGGAAAACCCCGGAAGTGGCAGCAGCGAGTGAGAGACGAGCCCTCTCTGGAGTGCAGCAGCACTTTCGGGAGCCACCATGCTTGAGAGCTTCAAGGGTCTACTCTTGAACACAGTAACGCAGTAAGCAACCCTGGTAAGGAGGTCCAGAAACGTTCTCTGCGACGCAGCAGCACTCTCAGTCAACTGCGTAGAAAGGCACATAACCAACAGCAGCACCAGCGCCAGCAGCTTCAGCAGGCAGTTAAGCAGCGGCCTTTCCCCATCCTAGAACGCAGCAGCACATTGTACCATCCACCAGAAGGGCACCAAGAGTATTCTCTTGAACGCAGCAACACGTTGAGGCACCTACCAGACGAGCATCAGCATACCCTCTTGAGTTCTGTGAGATGCCACTCCCCCCTGCCAACCAATCCCTGCAGCCATTCCTGCAGTGCAGCAACACTCGGGTGCTAGCTTTAAGCAGTGCTGATTTCGACACCGGCAGTGTTTCAAGCAGCGACGGTACTGGATGGACAGCTGGCAGAGATCCTGTTACTAGCAGTCTCGATACAGCCAGCAACGCGCCTGATGCTACAGCAAGCAGCAGCAGCAAAACGTTTGGTAAGCAATTACCACGTAGCAAGGATCAGCAGCGTGCTTGATGCTACAGCAAGCAGCAGCAGCGTGCTTGATGCTACAGCAAGCAGCAGCAGCGTGCTTCATGCTACAACAAGCAGCAGCAGCGTGCTTGATGCTACAGCAAGCAGCAGCAGCGTGCTTGATGCTACAGCAATCAGCAGCAACGTGCTTGATGCTACAGCAAGCAGCAGCAGCGTACTTGATGCTGCAGCAAGCAGCAGCAGCGTGCTTGATACTACAGCAAGCAGCAGTAGCGTGGCAGGAGGCTTGGCAGCCGGTGACATGTATAGAAGCGCAGGTGATGGCAGCTGGATCGGGGCTTTAAGATGTCCAGGAGTGTGCAGGCTAGGCTCGCAGGAGGGTGTGGTTGACTGATTCCAGGCAGCATATACAAGCACCTTGTGCGCCTTGAGCTATTGGCCAGTCTAGAAGCGCAGGCGATGGCAGCTGGGTTCGTGCTTTGGAACCCAGGAGTGTGCAGTATGGAGGGTTTGGCTGACTGAATTCCAGGCAGCTTTTCCCAGCCCTCGGCGCTGTTGACTG